GTGGAATCTCAGTTTGTAAGCTTGTTTGTGCATATCCGATAAGTATATCGATTGATTTATACCTAGAGTGCATTAGTATTTTTTCGCTCAGGGCTCATTGAGACGCTTCTTGTGAGACTTGTGTTTTGTTTCGGTAAACATGGTTCATATCATCAGTTAGATGCGTTTCCTCTGAGTAGGACACATGAATAGTTTATTACATTTTAAGAAGCCCTGAGACACAGTTTCGTGAGAAAAAAAATGGGGGAAAAAGCCCCTTAACAGGTTAAATGGGAATTAAATCAGTGTTCCCAAAGTTCTGCAGTTTGTGTGGGCCTACTGTACTGTTGCACAGTTTATGCTGTAGAAACTATGTCCAGGACAAGGTGTTTGGAAGTTTTGGAAGATTCATAGCTAACCACACTGAAGTTATGGAGGTATTGATCAGTCTTCTCATATTTTTAAGCCTCAAATTGTCCTTCTCCCCCCCTCTAACATCACCAGAAGTCATGATTTAAGGGGTCTTTTCTCAAAAAAAATTACCGGGGGAGCATCCCCCCGGACCCCTCTAGTATTGTTTGATCACCATTTCCACAGCCCCACCTAAAATATTTTCCACCAGCCGCCACTGTTGGCAAGTATATCCTTTTTAAAAGAGAGATAGATTTTGAAAGGAATGACACATGCAAAGCTCTTAGCTATTCAGGGCCCATAACAGAAGTTTGAACGTAATGTTCTTCGCACTTTTTTATCTACTAGTTGGTTCCAAACTAGGGATTCACTTAATCAGGTTGCACCAATAAACCCTAGAAATGTCCTTAGTCAATTGTCAGTCAACCATTTTGAATGTTATCACCCCATTAAATGGCCATTATGAGTTTTTATCACTACCGTTATAATGCTTCAGTCACAGGGTAACAGATAATCTTCTAATAGGAAGTAGTTTAAGTTGTACGACCTCTTTTGATATAGTAATGTGTAAAACTGCACTTAACAGATGCGTTAGAACGATGCTGTGTTTGAACTTCTGCAGCTCATCCGCTCCTGATCACTGAGTACAGTCTAATGACCTGTTTCTGACTGAGGAGGACAGCAATTAAGGAGCGAGTGTGAATCGATGATTTCACTTAATTAAATGAATAGATGGATGTGCTGAACTGCACATCACACAAATTGCTCAGAGTATTTACCTCGCAATAAAATCTATCTGGTGCACTATAAGGTTTTTTTCCCTCACATTAACAGAACAGATGGGAATTAAACATCAACATATTTTAGCCTCTAGCATTATATAGAGTATTGCAGCTATAAATCGCAGATTAAGCTCAGTTTCAACGGCTGCTTCCTCCTGACTGACTCTCCATTTTAGTGTTCATCTAGGCCCTAAAAATAGTCGCAATTTGGGAGCGCACATAATTTGAGTTGACCCCCCCCATACCTGTCAATCAGACATGTCGTGGGTGGGTGGGCGGGTCAAAGGTTTTGAATGACAGTCGCTGTCTGGGTATGTAATTATCATATAATAGGAGATGGGAGCTTCTAATTTTAAATAAGTTGACTTTTATATTTTTCTCTCTGGTAGTTTAACATGACTCGAATGACATGTTGCCACTAAAGAAGTGTTTGGATGAAAACCTAATACAAAATGTGTTTAGAGGATATTTTTCTTTAAGGGGAAACAAAATGTGTGAAATAAACTGCTGTTGCAAACTAACATATTGTTGGTTGAAGCAAATATAGAAGAAAGTAGACAACACATCAGGAGCACTCCCTTAGTGGGAATAAATCAGGAGAAACAACATCAAACACACAGAAATGTTAGAGTGTGAAGGAAGAAAAGACAACTCGCAGGAAGACAAAGGGACGCTTATCTCCAGCGCGGGTGAACACAGCTGCTGTCAGAGGAGAGAGATTCTTGGACACTTACGCAGAGATTGAGATGTTGGCTGCTGACATGGGGCTGACTTCCTTCACCTCCATAGCTTTCTGCAAGGCCAGCTTCTTATTGGCTGCCTGCTCCTGCTGCTCCTCATCCTTCAGCCAATGAAAACAGAGACATTAAATCATCCTTGTACAACCTGTTAATATCCTGTAAGGCTTTTCACAGGTGCCTTTTTGACATGTTTCACTGTGAAGTAGACAGAATAACTACCACATTTGTATATTAATATGTATTTTTCATTGGTCCTAAAAGACAACCTTTATAGAGTAAGACCGGGACTACCTTAGTCAGCTCCTGTGCATTTGCGAGGTTATCGACAGCGATAGCCAAGAAGACATTCAGTAGGGTGTCTGAACAACAGGACTCAGGAGAAAGTACAGACAGTATATATCCTGTAATGAAAAGGGCCTAAAAATTGTTATTTGATAAATCCGTCAGTTCGCCTGTTGGCCCGATAGTTGGCAAACAAGCAGGGTTCTTCCACATCTGCAATTAAGGGTCCATGTTTATTGAGCGTATAAGCAATTAGTAATCACTATCAGTCCTCACTGGCCGATATAATGATTATTGTTATGCTTTTCCCAAGAAAGAGGGTTTACAACTCCACAACTGATAACCCAAAAAGTATGCTATGTTGTTTCTTTATGGTTTGTAAAAGGTGTGTAATAAACACAGAAGCTTTTAGTAGGGCTTTAAACTTTAAGGACGTGTCCCAGTACCATCGAACATTCCCACTAAGTTACTAATACTAACTGAGTTACAAGAATCTAAGGTATGATTATTAAAAGTTCTTCTGATTGACACTATTTACCTGCTGATCACACCTGGACAAATGAACACAATATTTAACCTAAAACCATTTCCACATGTTGATCCTGCTCCTTCTGACTCTAACACTCTTCAGGTTAATTTGTCATAGAGGATACAGTTTCCAAAGAGCGTGAGGACGATGAAGTAGACTGAGGAGAACATGCCCCCATGTACGCCCCCTTGTGATTCGATGCCGTGGTACATCACAGCGTTCCAGTCCTCGCCCGTCAGAATCTGAGGAAGACAAGAGATCTAAAGTGACGCCGTAGTTGTAAAGCTCTGTGCAAATCTCACAGAGTAGAATTAAATTACTTTACAAAGTGAAGGGTTACAAGCACGGACTAATTGAAGGATTATCAACGAGCTCATTAGGGGACAGAAGGTACACAGACCAGTCATTCCCTCTAATTAAAATGCCTGATAACAATCCTTCATTTTCCATAAAGTCAATGTTCTATCGTTCATTTTGATGATATTAAGTGCACCTCATTTGTGTGTGTGTGTGTGTGTGTGTGTGTGTGTGTGTGTGTGTGTGTGTGTGTGTGTGTGTGTGTGTGTGTGTGTGTGTGTGTGTGTGTGTGTGTGTGTGTGTGTGTGTGTGTGTGTGTGTGTGTGTGTGGTGTGTGTGTGTGTATACCTGGAACACAGTGAGGATGGCTGCTGCAAACGTATCAAAGTTGGTGGTTGGGGTCTCTTCTTCAAAGTTAAACCTGAAAGAATCATAGTAAGAACATCATTAAATAAAGAGAGGAAAATAGAATGACAAATAATTAAAATATAAAGACACTACTGGGTTTAATCTTAGGATAATCCTCTTTAAGTAACACGATCAAAACTAGTAGAAAGCACAACAAGAAGACCCAAATTGAGGTATTCTTTAAAAATCAAGGCTGTACGTTTATAGCCTAAACTTTGTGATTACGTTGAGCCAAACCAAACAGTTAGATACTCAGGAAATGAAAACAAAATGTGCTCCAAAAAGGTCTATATCAAATCAGTCCTTCAAAAGAAGTGATACACAGGCATAGGAGAATTTCTCTCCAGAATACTTTACAGCTTCAGGTGGTGACTAGAGTATTCATAGATGAAGCAAGTTGTTTTGTATTGATAATGGATGAGACAGAAGGACAGGGAGTGAAACATGCAGCAGCAGGAAACACTAGTCCCCAGGGGGCCACCACAGCTCAAACTTTCAAGTCCCAAACACACTGCCTCTGCAGCTCAGTGTCACATGCTAAAAGTGAACAAACTGCGATGCAGCACGTCAAAAAACGTACAGGGAGTATAAACATCGAATGTATTGAGCAAATGAAGTTGATGCCCAGATTGAGTACATTTTTTTTAACTGTCATTTAAAGAAGACATGTATTCATAATACTGAGAATGTTGACTGTAAGGATCTGGGTATTTAAGTGTCTCCTTGTCCCCAGTGACAACTTCACCACCACAGAAGAAGATGTGCTTTCAGTTGACAAGATAATCAAAGTTGCCTGGATATGCCCCGCAGAGTTGCTAGCCTCAAAAGACAAAACAAAAACAACTTTACTTCAAGAGTTTCAAAGCTTCAGCATCCATGAAAACTACAGCTGTGTATGTGAAGCAGGTTTATATAGAGTATCATACAGACGTCCTACAGTGACAGTAGGTTTTTTGGCTTAACACAACAGCACTGCGGAATTCTAAGACACTGATTAGGAGTGAATTGAATATGATTTCCTCTATAGAATGTGCATGCAAGAGCTTATATCCTAGTAATGTTCCTTTAACATGTTTCTTCTCATTTACATATTGACCCCCAAAAGCCCTTAATATGGGTTCAAAAGTTTATATTTTTCATTGAAATGTCATATGTTTTTCTGCTGAAGGGAACGAATGAAATGTCTTTCACACTTCTATGAACAACCTTATGATTCAAATCATGTGATAGGTCATGTAAAGCAGTCAGAGGAGCGAGAGCAGAGTAAAACGTGTAAGTGTTGGGACAAAAAACCCACGAAGGAAGAGAGCAAAGAGGAAGAAGAGAAGATGGAGTAGAGCTCATTTACCACAGTTACTGTCTGCAAAGATGACAGCTGGTTTCTCTTCAACAGAGCAGATCCTGTGATATGTGTTTGTGTGTGTTTGTTTATTTACTGTACAGTATGTAGATTAGATTTAGAGGCCGATTTGAGGCAAAGATTATGATCAGATCATTTTGTGATGACAGTATGTCTTAATAAACACACGACAATTGTTAACACGGAACAACACTTTCAAGGGACAACGTGTTGGTATTCGAAGCCCTTTGGTTTCAGTGTGTAGTCGTAGTGGTATTGTCACGTTCAGGCAGACATTAGTTAAATGTAGGTAGAAAGTTTGTGTTTAGTACAAGTGAAACGCATTGGCCCAATCTTGGTTTCCATTGGCTATAATCTGATGTTTTAAAAAAAGAAACTGTTAACTGTGTAAACTGGCTCATGAAACAATGTTACAGTCTTAACTCCAATTTGTAATCAAACTGTAAACATGAGCAAGAGGAAGTTGTGGCCTTGTTATTTCGAGGCTTAGCGTCTTGGTAAAGATAATAATGAAGTTTTCGTAAAATAGGTTTATTCGTCATTTTACTTGCATACGTTTAACTGGTGAAGTATAAGATACGTAACAAGAGTAACTTTGTCACCCGTCCTGGCTCCCATGTATGTCGTTATATAGCGCATTATTTTCATAGGTGCGAACATTGAGTGAGCTTGTGAAATGAGGTGTTCCACTATTACTCTTGGCTATAATGTTCAGGTATTTATAACCTATTGGTCATGTGATGAACCACTGAGAACCCCATATCCAAAGCATGTACTGGTGTGGCCCTAATATGTGCATAAGGGAAACAGGGGAAGAAAGAGATTAGAGGGGGAGGGGCAACTAATTCAATAAGCCTTCCCTCTCTTGGTATGTCATCATACAGTAGTCTCTGGGTGTTTCTCAATGTCGAGGAAGGCTGCTTCAGAGTCACTATTTCAAGCATACTACGTCATCGAGTGCCGCCGAAGGACTGTTCCAATGTCCAGCATACTTGGAATTCTACCGAGAAATTTCAAGGCTGCACATGTGTAGACTCCGCGGTCTTAAAATCCCCACAATGCTTTGCGAACGGACCAATTTCCCAAAATCTGTGGCGGAAAATGTAAGGCGGGGCCTCTCATATGACGCACACCTGCACACTTGCTCGCCTGTTCCACTCTTCGTTTTCCGAATGCCAGGAAGGATTCTTGCCTCGCTTCTGAAGCAAGTGACTCGGAAGACATGTGCCTACCAAGCAAGGGTCCTCGACATTGAGAAACACCCTCTCTCTCCATGCTTCCCTCCTCTATCTTTGTCTTTCTCCCTCCCATTACGGCATCATCCATCAACCAACCCTCTCTATACCCATAGCTCATCCCTCCATCACTTTCTCCATTTTCATTTCCCCCTCCTCGGGCTCGGTGTGGGGAGTGTCGATGGTGGTGGATGCTGCTGCGCCTGTGTGCTCCGACCTCTGTTTACTCTGGTAATAGGGTTTGGGAGCGTGCTGCTTGGCTTCCGCACATCATCCACGGGGACTTCATTAAATCAATGCTGAAAACAAGATTCATGTGAAGCCAAACTCCCCACCAGCAAGTGCCCTATCCCCCCCCCATATCTGATACTTACAGCAACAGCAGCAGGTTTACAAAATAACATCAAACTGCCGAGCGATGAAACTGTGACATGATTCACGCAAGACATCCTGCAGAAGTCAGGAAATAGAACTGGCTTTTACAATATGAGGAGTGTTGAATACAAACATCAGCCCATTGGATACAGTACTGTATACGAGGGCTGCCACTAGTCACTCCTCACTGGATCTTATTGTAATGACTATGACGTTGTTATTCTTATATTGGCTGAAACTGCAAACGTTTTTACAAAAATAGTGGTTTTATTTGTGAAGATTTGTGAGGGTTTTTGCAATAAACTGGTTCAAATTGATATTATATTTTAATAGTGTGCAGAAATGAGTTTGAAGTTGAGAAATGAAATGCCATCTCTTCTGTAAATGACAAAGTCAGAGTCAAACAACACAAGAAAAACAGAAAGCAGAAAGCAGCAAACAGAAAAAGGAAATCCCTCTTCCTATTACAGTGACCGTTAGAGCTTATCACATTTTCTCCAAACAGTCGGTGATGTCCTGTGAGTCTCAGTGGGGAGATGCTCCTCTGCCTCAAGCTGTTTATCTTTCAATTCTCACAATTTTACCAGGAGATTACTTTTGGTGTTTTGAGAGCAGGAACATAATCTCTGAGCCAGAAATACAGTCGGTATAGTGCAAAGCATTTATTATTATTAACAAGTGTTTTAATCTTCTATTTAGGGTTGAAATACCTTTTTTTTAATCAAACAATTGAAATGATCTGCCTAAGAAAAGGATGGACTTTCTTTGATATCGATATAAATAATGACATTATCTGCAAGCCAAATAACAGTATACTGCCTGTTGGATTCCTATCTTAAGAAAATGAAATTAGTTGACATGCCTTGTATATTTTTAGACTTTGAGGTGAAAATGTGCCTGTGTGCTCGGCTGTCTGAAAGCACCATGTTGACGTCAAACCCATCTCACACATGTCCATCTCCAGAGTCTGATGTGATGCTAATGATGGCGCAGACTGATGTGAGGCTTGGCGCCATGACAACAGCCTGCTGCCTCAGAGACATCCAGTGGTGGTGTTTGTGAAGGCCGTCAGTCCCAGGAGACGAAGTCAGGGGATTGGGAGGGTCCCTTTAAAAATGTTATCCTCTACAATCACTAATGACCTGTAATCACTAACCTTATCTTGGTATCATGATATAAAAGTAATGATACCTGAGGACTTCCCTCCACTTCAGATTTACGTCATTATCAAATGCAATGCAAGTTAATATAAAATAAAGAGATATAAAAAAAAAACAATGCTGCTTTTTCTGTTGAGCAAAAACTCTGAACGGGAAATAAGTGCACACGCCCTTATTTCTTATTTTAAATGAACGTTAAAAAAAATATCTAACACAGGGTCTACAAAAATGTATTCTTATTATTATAGCATCAAGGGAAGTGTGGGATTAACTGTATTTAACTTTAGTGGGGATTAAAAGTCAGTCTGTGCTGCATCATTTTTGACCATTCTTTGTTTTATCAGGCTCCTGTAAGTTCCCAATTTAGATTTTAAATACTTATTGAGCTAAAGAGAAACTTGGAGCCTGGAGCACCCCGTTCAATTTCCAGTGTACAAAGCTTGTTGAATATCGTCAAAGTTTCCCTGAGATTTGCAGCAGATCTCTGATAGGTTCTGTAGACATGCTGTCATATGATAGGACAGGTTGTACTCAAACCACGTACACAAATCTAACAAGCTAGTCAAACTCATTTGTAAGAGAAAACAAAGGTAACATGTCAACTGAATGCCAAAATGGCCCTTTGTAAGAATCCATCACTGCTTTATGGATCAGCATCGTGATATTTACCGTAGCTGTGCACACAGTCTCACTGTTCAATAAGAGACCACTCACATTGTCTCAGCTGTGCTCATTTCCAAATAAAGTGGTGAAGGTAATCTAGATAAGCTGTTCACAACACCTGCTTGTGCCTCATGTGCCATTGGACTTCAGTGTTGCTCAGTTGTTTATAATGTTTTAAAACTGAGAGGAAAATAAGACCCAAGTCGTAATAAGCCTAAAGTATCCTTTTGGGGCTTTAAGAAATAAAGTTAAGGATAATTTTCTTGTGAGCCAAAAACCTGAATAAATAAAGGCTGTTGTGGTGAGGAGACGGGATGTAAAGTGTTGGTTTTTATCAGGGTTGAGTCAGACGGGGTTGGGTGCCAGGCCTTTGATTAACTGCAGCCAGCCCAGAATCATGAGGTGTTCCTGCCATTAGGAGACCCGGGGCCCCTGCTGAGAGCCGTATCAAAGGGCCACAGTGGCTGCTGCTGATCTGCCAGCCTCCCGCTGCGGCAACACGTCTGTCACCGCCGCCACGCAGGGCCAAGGATCACACACAGAGCAGCAGGGTCAGGTGAAGAGGTGGAGAGAGGAGGAGAAGATGTGTGTGTGTGTGTGTGTGTGTGTGTGTGTGTGTGTGTGTGTGTGTGTGTGTGTGTGTGTGTGTGTGTGTGTGTGTGTGTGTGTGTGTGTGTGTGTGTGTGTGTGTGTGTGTGTGTGTGTGTGTGTGTGTGTGTGTGTGTGTGTGTGTGTGTGTGTAAAGCGAGGCAAAGAGGGATCAGAAAACAGGGTCAGGTGAAGAGATGGAGAGAGGAGAAGGTGTGTGTGTGTGTGTGTGTGTGTGTGTGTGTGTGTGTGTGTGTGTGGTGTTGGATGTAAAGCGAGGCAAAGAGGGATCAGAAAACAGGGTCAGGTGAAGAGATGGAGAGAGGAGAAGGTGTGTGTGTGTGTGTGTGTGTGTGTGTGTGTGTGTGTGTGTGTGTGTGTGTGTGTGTGTGTGTGTGTGTGTGTGTGTGTGTGTGTGTGTGTGCGTGTGGATGTCAAGCGAGGCAAAGAGGGATCAGAAAACAGGACGGGATTGAAAGAATACTCACATTCCTCCGAAGAGCTGCATGCCGAGCAGAGCAAAGACCACGATGAAGAGGAAGAGGAGGAAGAGCAAGCTGATGATAGACTTCATGGAGTTGAGGAGGGAGACCACGAGGTTCCTCAGCGAGTTCCAGTATCTGAGAGGAAGCGGAAAACACGCAGACACAGATAAATGACTATTTTTGTTAAGAGAGAACACACAGACAAAGACAGAAACACTGAGGAGGTTTGAGAGGAACAAATAGAAATATGAGCTGTAGGTGGCATAAAACAAATCAATGCGTCAGGGTGCGCAGCTGCCAGCTCCAGTGAATCACAGGATTACAGCTAATCTAATGAAATAAAAGGATTGCCATTGAACTCTAACAGGATTGTCGGTTCAGAGAGAAAATAATTGACACTTCAGCCCTTATAAAAAGTGCAGCATCCTGCAACAAAAACCTTGTAGCTCCAAAATGCAGTGCCTTTAAAATAAGTAAACGTACTTAGCCAATTACATTGTATTTTAGATGTGTTTTCTTGCCAGTTCATTAGGAACAATGTCTTGTGAAATAACCGCAAGAACCAGAGTTTTTTCTTACTGCAGGAAGACATCTTATGGGGACTTTGCTTCTTTTGAATATGTGGCCCTTCAGCTGAAATGCTCCTCTCGAGCTCTGTTCCTAAATATCCATAGACCACCCAAATACTGTGCAAGCTTTTTTGATGATTTTACTGAACTGCTGTCTATAGTGTGTATTGACTTTGACCGTTTAGTCATTGTTGGTGATTTTAACATCCATGTTGACAACCCCCAGGACAGAGGGGCTAAAGAACTGTTTTGTGTTCTTGATAACTATGGACTGACTCAGCATGTGGCGGAGCCCACGCACAATAAGGGGCACACTCTGGACTTAATTATCTCAAAGGGTCTGAATATCTCAAAGGTTGTGGTGACTGATGTTGCACTCTCTGATCATTCCTGTGTTTTCTTTGAGAGCTCTATTTCTGTTCACAAAAATGTTCAGAAAGAGGTAACCACAAAGCGATATTTAACTGAAAATACTAGGGAAATGTTTACTCATAATTTCTCATCCACACTTGCCCCTGCTAACATCTCAGTAAATGAGCTAGTAGATCATTTTAATTCAAAAATTAAAAATGTTATAGATACCATTGCTCCAACTAAGGTAAAGGAAGTGATTAGCAAGAAAATATCTCCATGGAGAAAGGCCATGACCGTGAGAACAGAAAAAAGAGAGTGTCGAAAAGCTGAACGTAGGTGGCGAAAAACAAATCTCCAGGTTCACTTTGAAATCTATAAAGAGAGACTTGGCCTTTATAATTTGGAATTGAAAAACGCACGACAGTCTTTCTTCTCTGACATCATTACCAAAAACAAAAACAACGCACGTGCCTTGTTTGCTACCGTCGACAGACTAACTAACCCCCCAGTGTCAGTAGCCTCTGAATTTCTATCCACCAGGGCGTGCAATGATTTTGCCTCCTTCTTCACTGACAAAATTCAGAAAATTAGACAAGCAGTCAGTGCCTCTACATCAGGTACAGCAAATGTTTTGTCCCTATGTCCACCTAATATCAATTCAAACACCATGACACAATTCCATCAGATTAATGGTAAAAACTTAGAGGACATTATTCAACTTCTGAAATCCTCCTCCTGCTGCCTTGATATTATTCCAACAGGATTTTTCAAAGATGTTTTTCCTTGCATGGCCTCAGATCTACTTCATATAGTAAACACATCTCTTCACTCAGGTATTTTTCCAGAGGCCCTGAAAACTGCAGTCATTAAACCGCTCTTAAAAAAGAATAATCTAGATGCCTCAGTAATGAACAATTACAGGCCAATATCAAACCTGCCATTTCTAGGTAAAATCATTGAAAAAGTAGTATTTCAACAGTTGAGTAACTTCTTGCATTTAAATAACTGTTTGGATGTGTTCCAGTCAGGATTTCGTCCAAACCACAGCACTGAGACTGCTCTTGTAAAGGTCTTCAATGACATCCACTTAAACACAGACAGTGGCAGAACTTCAGTGTTAGTATTATTAGATCTCAGTGCTGCGTTTGACACTGTTGACCACAACATATTACTAGACCGACTAGAAAACTGGGTGGGACTTTCGGCAACAGTTCTAAATTGGTTTGAGTCCTACTTAAAGGACAGAAAAAACTTTATTTCTATAGGTAAATACACATCTGACTTGACAAATATGACATGTGGGGTACCTCAAGGCTCCATCTTGGGGCCTCTTCTCTTTAACATCTACATGCTACCACTGGCTCAGATAATGAAAAACAACAAAATAAGTTACCATAGCTATGCGGATGACACACAAATTTACGTAACAATTTCACCAGGAGATTATGCTCCAATTCAAACACTGATTAAGTGCATTGAACAAATCAATGACTGGATGTGTCAGAACTTTCTCCAATTAAACAAAGATAAAACTGAGGTAATGGTTTTTGGAGCCAAGGCAGAACGTATAAAAGTTAGCGCTGAGCTTCAGTCTGCAATGTTCAAAACAACAGATAAAGCCAGAAATCTAGGTGTAGTCATGGACTCTGACCTGAGTTTCAACAGTCACATTAAAACAGTTACTAAATCAGCCTACTATCACCTAAAGAACATATCTAGGATTAAAGGACTAATGTCACAGCAGGATTTGGAAAAACTTGTCCATGCTTTTATCTTCAGTAGACTCGACTACTGCAATGGTGTCTTTACAGGCCTCACTAAAAAATCTATTAGAAAGCTTCAGCTGATTCAGAACGCCGCTGCTCGAGTCCTCACTAACACTAAGAAAGTGGATCACATCACTCCTGTTCTGAAGTCCTTACACTGGCTTCCTGTGTGTCAAAGAATAGATTTCAAAATACTGCTGCTGGTTTATAAAGCTTTGAATGGTTTAGGCCCAAAATACATGTCTGACCTACTGCTAAATTATGAACCATCCAGAACCCTCAGGTCTTCAGGGACTGGTCAGCTTTCTGTCCCCAGAGTCAGAACTAAACATGGTAAAGCAGCATTCAGTTATTATGCTCCAAATATCTGGAACAAACTCCCAGAAACCTGCAGGTCCGCTGCAACTCTTACTACTTTTAAATCCAGGCTGAAGACTTTTCTTTTTGCCGCTGCTTTTAATTGAACTATTCACATCTTAAACTGCACTGTAACTTTTAACTTTTATCCATGTATTTTTTCTTTTAATGTTTATTTTATTATCTTTCCTTTTTAATGACTGATTTTAAATGCCATTTTTAAAATGTCTTCCATTTTTGTAAAGCACTTTGAATTACCTTGTGTTGAAAGGTGCTATATAAATAAACTTGCCTTGCCTTGCCTTGCCTTACTTTAACTGCACTGGTTTTACACATGTCAAAACACAATCTGTGAAAACTGTCGTATCAAAGTGTTCTGTAGCTCTGGATAAGCTTTTTCAAAAACCCTTATGATGTGATCAGTCATATCACAGAACATGTACAACAGAAAGCAATACAAAAAGGAGGTGTGAGCTTTCAAAGAGGAAACAATCAAGGCAATAAAGGTCTAATGAAAGAATACACTGTGTTGCATTCAAAGGGCAACATCCTGGTCTGTTAAGTGAAGCCAATGAGGAAATGCCATTAACCTGCATTCTTTCTATTGGCCAGCGCTGTTTTATATAGAGTATAAAGTTGCATTATGGATATTATTTTTGGGAATGTCAGTTCTGCAGTTCCCATCTTGCTTTGTGGAATGCAAACAGAAGTGTATTCCATGTAGCAGTGGCGTAGCTGTGGGTGGGCCCGGGTGGGCCTGGGCCCACCCACATGCACGTCTGGCCCACCCACAGCCAATCAGCACGTCATAGCGATTTTGACGTTCCTGACAAGCCCATAAGGAAGTGCCACAAACTGCAGTTCATCTAGTGGCAGATGGATGCAGAAAGGAGCAATTTCCATAGACCCCCATGTTAAAATGCCCAACTTTATAGCAGAAACAAACATGTTTCTAGCCTGGATCCAATAAAACTTATTCTGGAAATAGTTAGATTCCACCTTCATGACAATGGAATAGGGAGTGCATTTTTTTACCGTGAGTAAATTAGTAAGTAAAGTAAGTTTTGCCGTGATTGAATGAAAGTCTTATTTCTTCTTGAGGTCTGCAGTGAAGCGTGTACACATTTGCTGAATATGAAAAGACTCTCAGTGTGTGCCCACTGTGCGACTGTCAAGGATAAACAACCTGTGGCCGCCGAGCCAGTCATGTGGATGTCAGTTTTACACACATTCTGAGGCCGCCGTGCCTATGTTTTTGTTTTCACTGCTAGTTTAGGCTTATGCTTATGTTTAATTAGTGCATTAAAAAATAAATAAAATCATTAATGAAGTTTCAGCTTATACCCCACGCGTAATAAGTCTCCCCCTGGCCCACCTACATTTCTCCAGGCCCACCCACACAATACTTCCTGGCTACGCCACTGCCATGTAGTGATTCTGATAAACAACAGAATAAGGATTGGAAATGTGCAAAATGCAGAAAATGCTTTGGGTAGGTAATCCTAACAGAGAATTTGGTGAAATTAAAGGATGTATTTTTGAAAATGAAGTTTCGAATTGAACTCACTTGGTGACTTTGAATATCCTGAGCAGTCGCAGCGCTCTCAACACGCTGATACCGAACGATGCTCCGGGTTTAATCATGTCCCAGATCACCTCGCAAATACTTCCCACAATCACCTAGACAACAGAGCAAATAATAAAGTGTTCACGTGCTGTTATTGCGTTAAATATCTACTTTTGAGTCATAGTGAATAGTAACTTACCCCAAAATCAAAGCAGTTAAAGGATGAGTGAAAATAATTCCTCACTCCGAGGCCGTACATCTTCAAGGACATCTCAGTCAGAAACAAACCCAGGAACACAAACTCTGCTGTGTCTGTTTCCAAGAGGCACAGAGGAAACTGTTTATAGCCCACCAGCATCAATAAGTGTGGCAGTATACGTGTGTATTTGTGTGTGTGACTTACAGAGGGTCCTGGTGAGCCAGTCGGGCTGGTCGTAGTGGACGATGGCCACGCACAGAGTGTTCAGGCCCACCAGACACAGAACGATCCAGTAGAAGCTCGGAGCCTTGACCATGCGCCGGATGAAGAAGCGCATCCTCTTCTCTTTGCGCCGGAAGTACGAGGAGCTGTCCATCTTACCGCTGCTCTTCACGCTGGCCCGACCAAACGGAGAGCCAGGAGGAGCTGGAGGGAGAGGAAATGTGTAGGTAAATATGTGTCACCGTTTCACAGCTTCCACACTGAATCACTGTGTGTGTTCTCCTTGTATTATTCCTGTTACTGTAATTAGCAGCATCAGCCAACACATCACAAACTTGTTGCATAGCCTATTTCAATACAGACATTTTTCACTGTACTGGATTTGTTCACAAGTAATTAGCATTCACACACATTCACACACTGTCGTTCATGCCATTGGGAGTCATCCATGTTAGAGCATAACTTTAGGACAGGATGGAAATACTAAAGTCAAGTACAAGCATGTGAAAATTGTATATATTTAAGAACAGTGCTTGATTAAATGTACATATTTACTTTCCACCACTACTGGATCCTCCAAATGTAGATGTTAAATCTATCGTACACAAACAGACTATGTGGTTTACAACTTTTCACCTGTTAGTGTGCACAGTTCGGGCAACAACTGTGCTACTTTGCAATTATGCTGTAGGAAATTAGAGCAGATGGTTTAAAAGACAGAAGCATAATAAGATAGTGATGTGTTGAGTAGAGATCCATTTCATTTCACACCTGCTAACAAGCACTGAAAGATGTTTGTGGCAAATACTCTAACTTATAAAAGTAACAACACCTCCCCAAGGGGACCAAAAGCAAAGCGTAAAATCACCTGAACACTTCAATTTCTCTTGCAGCTGCTCATTAAAAAATGTGCACCTAATATATTTGTACCGTGGAGAAGGACTGCAGGCATCGTGTGCGAAAAGACAGGAGACAAAATTTGACTGTAGCATGCCTCTATTCCCTCAGCACTTAATTTAAAACGGAAAACAATCTTATGATGATAGGAAAAAAGTATTGAAGGCAACCAAATGGTTTCAATTACCATGCTTCTGCTCATTTCCAACCCACAGACAGGCAATTACATGTTGTCTTTATCCATTCATTTAAAAAAAGTATAATTCTAATATGCTGCAGGTGATTCTCCTGCCATTTGGATGTAACAGTCTAATTAGAAAAGTTAATTATACTTATTTTCCCTCAAGGTGGTTTGCCTCTGCTGCAGGAGAAACAGCTTTAATGGAGCTGAATCTGCTTCTGTAATGCTCATTTTTTACGTTTGAGTGAGATATCATACATTTTTTTTACTGTTCAAGTGACGCTACATCTGATAAATGGAGAGCAGAGTCAGGGTTCATTGTAAAGACAGGCTTTTATGGTGGCTTTTATATTGAATGTCATCTTTGAGAACAGACAGCATGTGAAGGTGGGAGGTGGGATGCAGGTGACGGAGGATAAGAAGACTTACGGACGGAGGAGATGTCAGCGAAAGGATCGTCCCCCTCCTCGCCTCCTATCAGGTCGTTTTTACCTTTCTTCACTTTGCCACGCTTATGGACTGTAAGGAACAAAGGACGGAGAGGAAAGGGGGAAATGATCAGATATGAGTCGTAAAATATGATATCAGCATCAGGTTTTTTTACAAGTAGGTTAAAACACACAAGGAATCTTTAGTGTATAATGGTGCGTACATTAACACAGTATAAGAAATAAGTTATTTGCTTGAACTATTTTATCTGTTCTAATGTGTTGCACTGTTGGAGGAGCCTGTGACCTAAGATGTTCATTGTAATAGATACACTGTAGCTATGCACACATGACAATAAAAGCATGTGTGTGTGTGTGTGTGTGTGTGTGTGTGTGTGTGTGTGTGTGTGTGTGTGTGTGTGTGTGTGTGTGTGTGTGTGTGGTGTGTGTGTGTGTGTGTGTGTGTGTGTGTGTGTGTGTGTAAGGCAAATTAGAGGGGTGAGCTAATTGGAACCTATGAATAGCAGACATCAATCATGTTTTTCATTTGGAGATTTTCTGCCTTCCTGTTTGAAGCCAGCCTTGGAAAGAGAAACTGCCAGCCCAACATGAGAGATCGTCACGTGTCAGTGGAGCGCTGGGCTGAGGCTCAACATCTACAATCCACCATCTCCGCTCAACAGAAAGCTGCTGGGAGGCAGAACCAGTAGAAAAACGATCTGGCTTTGACACTGAGCAACACTAAGAAATACATTTTTTATGGAATCCTTTTAGTTTGTAATTGAGTGCCACAAAAATGGGAAAGAATCTGCCAGCGCTGTGAGATAACCTCATCTTGTTTCCAATTCAAACTTTCTTGATTGAACTCCCTACCTTTGTGACATCCCAACCTTAGGGCAGTACGACAGCAAAAAGGCAAAGTTTCTGAATATGGGCCGTCGGGATTTGTCCGTGGATTTGATATTCTTAAAGCACCAAGACCTTCTTCATGATAAATAAAACAAAAGACCTGTACATCTCACTCGTTACACTATGAGACATTTAATGAATGAACACATTGCCCTCGCCCTGGAGCGAGTAGTCTACGCCCAGCTGCAGTCTTTTTTAACCATCCATGGAATCCATGAAAAGTTTCAGTCTGGCTTCAAACCCATGCACAGCACTGAAACAGCCCTTTAAAGAGTTTTTAATGATCTGCTCCTAGCCGCCGACTCAGGTAGCCCAGCTGTCCTGGTGCTGTTAGACCTGACAGCTGCCTTTGACACTGTGGACCATAGCATCCTGCTGTCACGGCTTGAACAGTCCGCTGGCATCACAGGCTCTGCCCTTGCATGGTTCAGGTCCTACCTGACAGACCGTAGCTTCTCGGTACAGCTAGGTGCCTTCTCCTCTGCCAAAGCCCCTCTTACCTGTGGGGTTCCCCAAGGCTCGATTCTGGGCCCCATCCTTTTTCTACTGTACATACTGCCCCTAGGTTAAATTCTCACAAAACATAATATTCCCTTCCACTGCTACGCCGACGATGTACAGATATATCTGCCTCTCAAAGCAAATGTCAAACACTCACTACAGCAGCTGATGGACTGCTTAGCAGAGATAAAATCCTGGCTGAGCAAAAACTTTCTCAACCTCAACGAGAGCAAGACTGAGGTCATCTTTTTTGGACCGCAACCTCCAGCCTCTCCGGTTGATATTCTGGGGTCTCTCAAAAAAAACACCCTCCCCTCGGTCATGAACCTTGGAGTGACCTTCACCAGCACTTTTAAATTCGACAAGCAGATCAGCACTGTAGTCAAATCCTGCTTTTTTAAAATAAGACTATTGGCCAAAACCAAGTCGTATTTATCTTTTAATGACTTAGAAAGGGTTATTAACGCCTTTGTAACCTCGAGACTGGACTATTGCAACGCTCTGTATGTGGGTATGGACCAGGCCTCAATTAAACGCCTGCAGCTAGTCCAAAATGCAGCTGCACGTTTGCTGACTGGCCACAAAAAGCATGACCACATCACCCCTATTCTGGCCTCACTGCACTGGCTTCCAGTTCGGTTCAGAATTGATTTTAAAATCCTTTTATTTGTTTTTAAAGCACTAAATGGGCTGGCTCCGGCCTATATAGCTGAACTCCTCGAGCGCTACACCCCAGCCAGAGCTTTAAGGTCTGCTGACCAGCTGCTGCTGGTAGTGCCCAAGACCAGGCTAAAAACCCGAGGGCACCGAGCCTTCGCAGCAGCTGGCCCTAGGCTCTGGAACACTCTGCCCCTCCATGTGAGGTCGGCCCAGACCCTAGGGGTTTTTAAATCCACTCTAAAAACACACTTCTTCTCTCTGGCTTTCTAGTTAGAGCGGAGCACGACTCCTGACTTTTCCTTGTGTTTTATTTTTAATTTTGTTTTTTTTATATATATGTTGTAACTTATTGTCGTTTATTGTGATTGTACTGTAGTAATGTGTTTTTATTACATGTACAGCACTTTGGCTCGACCAAAAATCGCTTTTAAATGTGCTACATAAATAAAACCTGATTTGATTTGATTTGAACACATGATCTTCAAGGTAGGAAGAAAATTAAATTCAGTGTTTTAAAGTGTTTCTCAAAAATACATTCAAATAGTGTGTGGGATTATAACTCTTTATAGGGAGCTGGATCTGGTTCTCTTTTTCATTTTTCAAGTCATGAAAATAAGTTATTTAGGTAGAAATTATTTGCAGGAAACGACTAGGCAAAAAAAAAGCCTAAAAGACAAATTGCTCAATTTCTTATCTCTATACACCAGTTGAATGATTGAATAATCTTTTTAATTCAACTGTACTGAGTCAGGCAGCTATGATTGGCACTTTACTCCCATATTCATACCTGTCATTCATTTGATGAAGGCCAACTCCATATTTTCTGCTCTAACAACATCAGAGTGGTTTTCCTCTGGCTGTGGGCGCACACGTTTTAATCCCTGATATGTAACTAACTGAGAAAATATGGCAGCTAGGTGCTGTCACTTTACTGTGAGTGTGTGTGTGTGTGTGTGTGTGTGTGTGTGTGTGTGTGTGTGCGTGCGTGCGTGCGTGCGTGTGTGTGTGTGTGTGGGAGCGTGGCATAGTGAATTTACTTTAACAAATCCAATCATTCTAAAGCTGTAAATCCCACTAATTAACCCTTGCCTTCACACCAGGCTGATGGACTGACATCATCAGGAAAGAGAGGGAGAGAGGTAATTGAATAACAGTGTGCTCTCTTTCAAAGGAAGGCAACAAGAGTACTGAGTGGAAACCATGGCAACCACTTAAATAATGATGTACGTAAGTGCTGATTATATGATTAACAGTTGGCTGGCATGACTGCAAACGGCACAATTACACAGTTGTGCATTAGGGGTTAGTGTAGTGGAGGGACAGGCTTACGCATAGTTTGGTATTAACTATTATAATAAAAGGCTGAAAATAAATAGAATAAAGTTTTATAATGGAAGATAATATATATTGGAAGACCATGTGTGATAAAAAATAAAGAAATGGTTAAAAAAAGATTGGGCAAAAAAGTTTTGGAAAAAAAACTAAATAATTGTTGTTGTAATAGTAATTTAAGCCACAAGAGGCCTAAGTGCATCACTATCCTGAGTTCTACAGGAAATATATTCATGTTTCAATATATTCAAATTAGATATTTTATCCTCACAGAATTTTCCATTTTCCAAATATTCTTAAAAAAAACAAAAACATTTAAGTAAAACAATTCAGTCAATTCAATCAGGCTGAGAAAACTGACCACCAGAATGGTTTTGTTCTCACTGGCTTATCAGGGTTTCCATCCAGTAGAATATGTCTGAAGTTGACTTAAATATCCACTTCACAAAAGGGAACCAGATCACAATCTTTACGGAGGATTTATGGAAAGCAAAACGATGCTGTAATACATCTTTCATGGGCTAGAAATGATGTATCATGATAAAGCAGGCAGCAGTTACTCAGCCTTCTTTATACCTGGAAGGTTTTGCTTCCTCTTGTACCACGCACCGTCCAGCGGGGACTTCTCCTCTGCTATCTCATCCTCCTCCTCCAGCAACACCTCCTCTGCAGCGAGGGAGAGAAATGAGAAAGAGAGGGACTTTCTATCAATTTGTCATGTTTTTCTAACACAACAAACACATACGAGCCAGCTCTCCCGCTGTTTCAGAGATGAGTCTGACCTGCTTTGCAGATCCACTCCAAATACCCGGTGAGCTCTCGCTCGATCTGCTGCTGCCGGCGGAGCTTCAGGAACTCCTGCCTCTTCTCCACACGCTCCCTCTCTTTGGCAAACTCTCTGTGGAAAATTACACACAGGAAGAATAGTTAAAATAACTCAAAAGCATGTGAAACATCTGATAGAAGAACATCTGTATTTGTATACATTTATAATGGGATCTTGGGGATTACAAAACCAACAAATGTGTTTTTATTGGTATAAAGGAAGTAGAAGTTGAAGAGTTCATCTTAAGGAATATGAACCGTGCAGTTCAAGCGACAGCAGGGCAGCTGTTAAAGGCAAGAAAGAGGCAGGAAACGGCCGTTGGCGAAGCTGGAGCGAGTAGATATTTATGTAACTTATAGGATGTGAGAGGGCAGAGGAAGAGCAGTGAAGTGTGATGATCTGACATGACAGATCAGAGAGGCATCACATGTCGCTCTTAAAGACAGCATACAATATATATACTGTATGGTGATATGTTGAGGGATGTCAATTAAAAGATATGTTTGGATAAAACTAGAAAAATGAAATGTAAATGGGAGTGATACATGTATTGTGTGTTTCCAGCCCATGGAAACTAGGATTGGGTCGAATTTTGTATGGGTTTGTATGGGTTCTTTCTTCAAATGTAAAAATGACGCCTGTCGGTTTTTTCAATATCTTGCCATTGGTCAAACAAATTAATCAAAATGTTCTTGGCTGAGGTAATAAACCAATTCATTACAGTAAAATTAAGGTGGATGGATGAAAGACAGCATAAAAGATTAACAAAACATCAGAGAAACTGGACATCCGGACAAGTATTTTCCAATAACTATTTCCATGAGAAATTAATGGACAATAGCCACTTTGATTCTGGCTCAATAGGGATTTTCACAGAGTTTTTTCTAACATTTTAAACTTTGTTTGAAATCTGTTTCATTGATATGCTTTTATGCTTTTTTTGAAAATACACTTTTAACAGAATTACTAATGAAACATGGTGGATGGTCACTGATCAAGCATGGGAGAATAAAGCAAATCTTATCTTGTGGTACTGTTGTTGAGTAATTACAGAAAAGCTTTAGGGCAGTTTTCTGTTGTGTGTTTGCGACCATGCACGTGTTTGCTTTCATCGCCATTTTGGAGGCAGAGAAGGAGCCATGGGTCACAGAAGGTGAGGACAGGCTCTTAGTACGCTGCCACAGACACAAAGAGATGGACAGATGTCAGATCCATCAGCACAGAGCAGAGGATGATTAAAGCCACAGAGCGAGGCCTTTAATGATGAGAGGAGGACAGGGACAGATGATGAGAGGACAGAAAGTAAAAAGGAGAAGCGCTAGATGATGTGAAGAAGTGATTAATCTGCTGGTTATCTCGATTCAGCTTAAATTTGTTATTTTCTTACAAGCCACGACATGATCGTCTTCTTCATTGTAGTTAACTGACAGCAGGGATACTGTCTTGAATCCCTATCATATGATTGGATAGCTAACTCCTCCTCATGTATGGAATACAAGCAGGTAGCTGAAGCCAATACAAGATGCATTTCTTTTTATCTTTCTATCTAATCTATCTATCCTTGGATAAAAACACTTTTTAGCAAATACTTGAATTTATTATTTTAAAGAATAACAGTTCCCTCAAAATATCAAATCAAATCAAATCAAGTTTTATTTATATAGCACATTTTTTTACGATTTTTGGTCGAGCCAAAGTGCTGTACATATAGGACACTTTACAGCAAATACAACAGCACAGTTTGTTCAGAATATCAGTATGAGAAAAACGACACCCTCTGTCCTTAGACCCTCACATTGTACAAGGAAAAACTTCAAGAGAAAAACCCCACAGTTTAAAGGGGAAAATGGGAGAAACCTCAGGGAGAGCAACAGAGGAGGGATCCCTCACCCAGGACGGACAGACGTGCAATAGATGCCGTGTGTAAATCGAAGAGATAATACATTTTACAGCGCAGGTAGACCGAATGTTTGGAAATGCATGTGTCTATAATAAGAAGATGAATCCACGAAGATGTCGTAAATATATCCCCATTTACTCAAAACTTGGCTTAGAAAATGTTCCTGAAGTTAATTAAATAAAATTGGAAAGGAAGTACAAATAAATTGCTGATTGTTAACGTATTTCAACTTAGTAATAACAAGAACTAATTTAAAATAGAATTATCACAAAACAAATTCCATCATTTCCTTTTGAAAAATAATAATACATTTCAAGTTCTCTAGAATCTTGAATCAGTCATTAGGTTTAATTGGGTTTCCATGTAATGTGAGCAGACCGGGTGTGTTTCTATGTTCAGAGGGAGCTTACCCAGACAGGACACCGAGCACCAGGTTGAGCATGAAGAAGGAGCCGATGATGATGAGGGGGATGAAGTACAGCCAGTTCCAGGTGTTCCCCGCCACGTCATTGGTCTGGAAACACAAAAACAACACAGAAAGAAATAAGAAGATAGCTATTTGCAAAGTCACCAACCCAAATAAATGATTGTCATATACTTCCTTTCTATCCTTTTTAAATAACCTATGTGTTAGTAAGAAATTGCCAATGAACTAAAAACTAAAAGTAATTGTTTGGTTAGGATGGAAACAGTCTGAGCTGACAGTGTTTGAATGTGTCCCTTAATACTTTCCTATTTCTCATCTACAGCTGTGAATACCAGTGTGTTTTCAACCTGGCTGAATAAGAAAAACTTTCTTCAAATATTTTTGACATATTTTTAATTTGAAAAAAAAAAGCAATTAAAAGTGTCTCCATCATCTCTGTACGCTTCCAAACAAACCAGCAAAAGACGTCTGCTATCACGGAAAAACAACAGTTTCATTTAACACAACAGAAACATCCATTCCTATAAATTGTCCCTCAGACAATCAGGTGTGATGAGGAAGTCATCCAAAATGAGCCGTCATGGCTCAGGGTTAGTTAAATGACTTACACACACAGCTAAAAACACACCTACAGTTATTTAGATTCATAAAGAAGGGTGTTCTGAGGATATACACATTTTCTATTTATCTTAATGTCCTTAAATATATCTTCCGAAAGCTGAAGAAGGTGATTCATTCAATAATAACATTTATTAAATAATATTCTCTATTCACGGGGTGTCATGTTAAGCTATTTAGTTATTTAAAAAGTGTTTTTTTGTTATGTAAATGTCCCAAATATAGTCACAGAGAGTCTGAGTTGTTAGGTATATGATATTTTTCCTTGAGGAGTTAGAAGACAGCAAAACGAGCTATACAGAAGTGGAAATATAAAACATACAATAATCAGGTTGCTCTGTTTAAGTGAACAAACGTTTGCTTACAAGTTAGCCAGTTATCTTTATGTGACAATATGTCTAAGCTGTGTTTCCAGCTTGTTGTTCTTGTCAAAGTTGCCAAACAATCCATCACAGCGATTAAAAATGAGTTACCCAGAGCACTTTGCTGATTGGTTGGATGTACCGATTGTGTACTGCTGCACAGACTGAGAAGCCGGCCTGATATTTATGCTTGTTTCTCCCGGGGGGTTGTAGGAGTCAGCGCCCTCTGTGTCTGAGCGCCCCCCCCCCCACACAGCGCCTGTTAGCGGGGGACAGCCTGCAGAGCGATGGGCTGTGTGAGGCACGGTGACATTCTGCAGACGCCAGTGTCGGAGCGCTGCCACACGCTGCCTGTAATTGTGATGGGAGGTTCAGGGCGGCTGAATCAGCAGACTGCAGATCTATATTATGCGTCCGAGGATGTGGGATGAACATACACACACGTACAGTATACAGCGGCACGCCCTCCGTCTCAGCCGTCAGAGGAGAAGTAGCCCACACACCAGGATAAATGGCTGCCATAAGCTTTACTCTGTTGCTCTTCATCAATTATTTTTCAAGTCTAACATCTCGTCGTGTCTTTCTCTGCTTCTCTCCCTCTTGCTCCGAACATTTTGTTAAATTCTCTTGGTATGAATTTTACATGAGCAACCTCTCATCTCCCACTGTCTCCCTTGATTCAGTTCGATTCAACGAAGCATAAATAAATGGTTTGGAAAATATGCTCTCTTTTCCAAAGGGACATGAGAAGATCTATATAATCTCATCTCACATCTCTGCATTAAAGGTGGGGTAGGTAAGTTTGAGAAACCGGCTCGAGATACACTTTTTGTTATATTCCATGAAATGCTCTTAACATCCCGATAGCAATGAATATCTTAAGTGCTTTGACAAAAAATCCATAAAAAAAATGTCATCTGTGGAAGCCGTAATACTGTAAAAAGCACGACCAATCATTTTAGCCGGGCCGGCTAAAATAACTGGATGGCCTACCTGCCTGTCAGCCTTCCATCTGTGCACAAACTTATCTCGTGCCCTCATTGGTCATGTGCGCGTTCGTGTGTGTTGGAGGAGGGGCTCTATAAGGAAGTGGCAGATTTGTGTATTTTCAAATTCTGGCGCACTCGAGCTGGTTTCTCCAAAATGACCTACCCCACCTTTAAGTACAATGCTGCAGTCAAGATGTAGTTAGCTTATATTAGCATAAAAAGGGGGGAACAAGGATTCTGGCCCTGCCTAATGTTCAAAATGATGTGTATTAACCCTTCTAGCGCTTCTGTATTGTGTTTGTTAAACCCTTTATATATACAGTCTATGGTTAAACCCCATACATGAACAGGTTTTAGGGCGACAGCTGGCTGCAGTGACTTGGGGACTGCCCATTATTACAAAACCCAAATAGTCGCAAAAATAGACTTTCTCCCTGCAACAAACAAGAGCATATGGCTGATTATTATGCAGAATGTAATAACGGGTTGTGCAACCAATGAGCTTTGAGTTACTTTTGTGGATTAAAAAACCTTAAACCTTCTATGCTCTTAACCTTTTATTTTTATTTTTATATTGTCATATTTTATCCAATATGCTCCTTTAGATAACTTTTTACTTATTGTTCCTTATAGCTTTGTGAAGCACCTTGAGATGACGTTGTTTTTAAAGTGTGCTATATAAATCGAATGTATTATTATTATTATTATTATTATAAAAAACAGTTGAAACAGTAACCCTAACGTTTCTTTCAGCACAGTGAAGTCGGCATTGCAGCCTGCAGTTTTACTTTTTAGTTCCTTCCCATTGCTTTCATCAGTGTCATTACTACCTGTGGAAAAGCTGCTAGCTAGCTGTTAGCGCTAAGTTCCCTGAGCAGTTGGTGGAGACTAAAACAGAGCTGAAAGAAGAGTGATATTGTTTTTTATTTCTAAGCAGAGTTCGGTATTTGTTTGCAGAAGCAGCAGATACACTATTTCTTTACTCACTGGGGAACTCTGGATGCCTGTTGTGGAGACAATTAAGTAGAAATGCACTCTGTTGCGTCAGCTCTCCATTGTCAGCTGGAGAGGAGGGAAGACTCCTCTCTCAGATTCAGAAACAGGGAAAGGTCTCCGGGGTGGTCTCACAGTTGCTGGTTTGCTCAGATGTAAGGTAGAAGAAGCGTTAACTAGTAAAGCAGGACAAACCTGAGGTTGTATACCCATTGGTTAGGACATTAAAGAGTGTTTTGGGTAGCAAAGAGAAGATTTAGGAATCTCACTGTTGTGAAGAAAGTGGAAAAAAGCACCAATGTATATATTTTGTGAGGAGAGAAGAGAATAGCAGAGACCACCTGTACCGTGGCCCCTGGGCAGCATGGAAGGACATCCATCACTTCAATTTACCATATGTCACTTCTGGATGGAGGGTGTGATCCAACATGCTATATAACAAACAGCCTCTGGCAGCGGCAGGCAAACACATCTGTGGTTCCCTCTACATGTAATCCATATATTATATAAGATGTTTGCATACTTGAGTCCTGTTTCCTGCAAACTCTCTCCATTTTGCTGCAGGTTTGTCTTCCTTACTTGGATTACATTTTTAGAATCATCTACCTTAGAATCTGTTTTCGAAATAATAATGAATGTGGCCCTTTGCTCAACTGATGCTGGGTGTATTATACGATACATTACAGAAAAAGTGGTTCCCGAGGTAGCCAAGGTAAGAGTCAAGAACTAAAGGACAGAATAAACGTTTCCTGTTTTTACTCTTATGCTTAAAGGTGGGGTAGGTAATTTTGGAGAAACCAGCTCGAGATCGCTAGAATTTGAAAATACACAGCCGGAAAAAATCTGCCACTTCCTTACAGAGCCCCTCCTCCAACACACACGAACGCGCACATGACCAATGAGGGCACGAGATAAGTTTGTGCACAGATGGAAGGCTGACAGGCAGGTAGGCCATCCAGTTATTTTAGCCGGGCCGGCTCAAATGATTGGTCGTGCTTTTTACAGTATTACGGCTTCCACAGATGACATTTTTTAATGGATTTTTTGTCAAAGCACTTAAGATATTCATTGCTATCGGGATGTTAAGAGCATTCCATGGAATATAACAAAAAGTGTATCTCGAGCCGGCTTCTCAAACTTACCTACCCCACCTTTAATGCCTTTTTTACATAATGCAACATATTGAAGGATGGAGTTATATTGTATGTTTCACAGATTGCAAATAAAGATCTGGTCTCCAAATACTGCTGGTTTCCATATGACAATCCCCCCAGCTCTGCTTCAGACCCCACCTTTAATGAGATTAAACCATAGTGTAGGAGAACAGATACAGGACACATAATGGTTATAGTCACTTAGAAAGATTACCAAGCTGCTAATGCAACATTTTGCCTTTAGCTCTGATGACCTTAAATGTTGTTCAAGAATAATGTGATGAGACAAGAAAGCAAATACAAGATTAAAATGTTGTTATGATTATAATAAGTGAAAGGTCTATTTGTTATGCACTGATCCGATACTGTTATTTGTAATTGGGCTGACACGTATAGCTGTATTGGGAATGCCATCATGCAATCCAGTATGTCTTAAGCTAAGGAGGCTAACACAAATATGTCAGTAGGTATTTCAACTTCGTAATAACTGCAAAGCCAAAGTTTTGATGTGTGGCAGGAGCAATGCAAACACATACTAACTACTAAAATACTACTTAAAGATAAATATGAACCTGTAAATGAGCATAAAGGGACCTCTTTAATGAAGCACCTCGAGAAGCATCATTCTAAAGAATAAATATAGTTGAACTCTTCCTACTCTTGTAGATATTTAAAGACAAACTTTAGTGATTTCTATCCACTGAGCTTAATGTTTGTGTGAGTTCACTTGATATCGTTATTCCACCTCTGTTATTCCCATGAGTCATCGCTGGCTGACTGCTCTCAATGATCAGTGAGGAAAAAAGAAATGTTGCCACAAAATTTGGAGTCATACATCATGCAGTTGTGGTTTGACAGTGTCCTCCCACTCTCGGCTTACACGCACGCACGCACGCACGCACGCACGCACGCACGCACGCACGCACGCACGCACGCACGCACGCACGCACGCACACACACACACACACACA